TCACATTTTTAAGACTTTTAATTTCAATCGAGAAATGCTCAACAATGACATCATTTTTGTCACATACGATGATAATGTTTATGGGTTGGGATCTAATGGGTACGGGTGTCACGGATTGGGTCACAACGAGTCCATACAATCACCACAAGTTATAACAGAGTTATGTCATCAAAACATTCACATATTTATTACTGGATATGACTTTGTGTTGGCTATGAATACAGTGAACCAAATATATAGTTGGGGTCACAATAGGTGGGGACAGTTGGCTAGAGATAGGACACCAAAAGGGGTTTATTTAAAACCCGAGAGAATATCGTATTTCGACGACAAAGATGTCCAACAAATCAGTTGCGGTTATCATCACTCACTGGCCCTCACATCCAATGGACAGGTGTATGGGTGGGGATTAAATACAGAGGGACAGGTAGGCTGTGGTGACAATCAAAAGGATATGATTTGCAAACCAATTCTCATACAATTCACGTATTGTCCGAAAATTCAAACAATTTATTGCAATTATTATCAATCATTTGCCATCACTTGCGACGGACTTGTGTACAGTTGGGGTGACAATGGTTCCCAACATTTGGGACATAATGTATCCAGCAACTTTTTATCAACTCCACGATTGATATCTACTCTAAACGATATCAAAACTATCGCCTCATCCATAACTATGACTTATTTCTTATCAAATAATGGTTTCATATATTTTTGTGGATATTATCAACAAGGTGCAAAATATATAACGGCAAATAAACCCTTGCAATTTGAATCTAGTGGCGATTTCCAAGATTTATCCCATATAAATTTAGAAGCAACTTGCTACTTTTCTAATGAGTGCATAATTGCTATGCGGAACGATAGTGTATTTATATTAGCAGGAAAAAATAAAATGATTGCAACACAATATTATAGTTTCAGTGATTTCTACACAAATGAGGTGCAAATTACATACAAAACATTAGCCAGAAACAATTATTTATATCAAAATGTTTTCGATGCGTATTATGTGAAAACGTTTGATGAGTTGTCGGTAATTGGACAGGGAGGTTTTGGCACAGTATTCTCTGTGAAACACACATACGATGGACAGGTATATGCTGTGAAACAGATACAATATAGAGGTATTTTTAAATAAATTTTCAAATCAAGAATAACTAGAAATAATAGAGTAAATAATAAAATTTTCTTAATTAGATCTTGATGAAATAGAAAGTGTTAAAGTTTTTAGAGAAGTGGAAAACTTAGTGAAAGTTAAGTCTGAATATGTGGTCCAATATTATCACTCATGGCGTGAAACCGGATGTCTTTACATTCAAATGGAGTTCTGTTCACAGAATTTAACGAATATTCTTGAAGTCAAACCACAAGTATTTGAGAGACAATCGGGAGAACCCATGGATTTATACGAGTATTTCATTTCGTGTGAAATATTTCGACAGATCTTAGAATGCGTTCAATATTTACATGAATTGAATCCA